CTGGGGCATGACTACCCACCATGACCTGTCCAGTTACAGATTTATGATCAGATCACCCTGTGAGGTTACTTTCCATAGACCCCCTTTTTTCCGTCCACAGTAATTACCTTACAAATTTCTTTAACTTGTCAAATCCTGCCAAGTTTATCGGTCTTGGATTACTCAGAGTAAATAGCAATACAATTCTTAAACTAAGTTAAACGTGTGTGTGTGTGTGTGTGTGTGTGTGTGTGTGTGTGTGTGTGTGTAGAACAAGGAAGGAGGGGACCTCTTATTTGCCAACAGTTGTGAAAATGAACGGATAATGACCGGTCCGTGGGGTTGTGGGAGGAGTAGAAGGACAGAGAAGGAGCCGCGGCCCGGGTGGCTTAGTGGTAGGACACAGAGGCGCAGTCCCTGACCTAAAATAAAAACAGCTCTTGGGAACCAATATCTTCTGCCTGGCTGTCAAGCAAGTGGAAAGCTCTTGGGTGGGTTCCCACAGATGCTCTGACATTTTACAAAAGGGGAAACTGAGTCCTTGTGGGAGCAATAATTATTGAATCACTACTGTGAGCGTGGCACAGTGAAGATGGCCTCCCATTAATTATCCGCCGCAACCTCCCAGTAATTCGGTGACACAGGTGCTACCCCCATGCCATGGTTGAGGACACTGAGGGTCAGAGACAGTGACTTACACGAGTTGCTCAGGGCCCTGAGGGCCGACTTGGCACTGGGTCTGCTTCCCAACTCAGGGGTTCTGTGCAAAACCAAAACAACAAAAATCATTTTATCTCAGACAATTTCTTTTCTTTTTTTTTTTTTTTAAGCGGAGTTGCCAGTCAAAGGAGATGTGGATTTTTTAAATATATTTTATTGGTTTTTTACAGAGAGGAAGGGAGAGGGATAGAGAGTTAGAAACATCAATGAGAGAGAAACACCGATCAGCTGCCTCCTGCACACCCCCTCCTGGGGATGTGCCCGCAACCAAGGTACATGCCCTTGACCGGAATCAAACCTGGGACCCTTCAGTCTGCAGGCTGATGCTCTACCCACCGAGCCAAACCAGCTAGGGCAGACTACTTCTTAATTTGACTTTTAAACCAGAATAGTTTGAGTATTATAATTCATGTTACTTGGGTACTATCTTGACAACCTGAAAATAAAGAAACCTCCTCCAGCCCCCAGATTTCTTCTCCTGTGTGAAGCGCAGCAGCTTTGTGGGTGAGGCAGGGTTATGGTGGGAGGTAGATACTCTGTCAGGCAAAGCTAGGCTCTGGAAGGCCTCCAGGTGACATGACCAGCTACTTGGGGTTTCTGCCTCTCCCTCCCAGCACCAGCGTTCAGTTCAGTTGTTTCCTCATAACACATATGACTCCCTTCCTGTCAGTAACAGGCAAGAAACTTTCTGAAATTGATTGAAAGGGAGAAACGACCAGGTTGTATCAGGGAAAAGGTAAAATCCATGGCCACTGAGAAGCTGCACTGGGTGGCGGGGAGGGTCGGGAAGAAGAGGACACAGTGCTGTCCCCTGGAGAGTAGGTCCTGGGTGAAGCAGGTGTTCAGTGGCTGAATGATGGGCTCCACCCCAGTGTGTCTGGGTGTCTTCAGAGGATTCCAGGCAAGATAAGGCTCAGGCGCAATTCCAAGGCAACAACTTGTAGGACGAGTTTTGAGCAAAATAACCTAACTTGTTTGGGTTTTGTTCTAACTCATTAACACCCCTTCTGTGGTCCTCCCCAGCAACCAGAGCCCACCCCCATGTGCCATCTGGCCATGCCTTCTCTCGCTGACCCTCCTGTCCCCTCCCCAGGCACCCAAGCCCATCCTCAAAGACAATGGCGTGTGCTGGGAATGTAGGCTACCCTTTCTGCTCTCTGCCTGGTTGCTCTCCAGTTTCCACTGACACTTATCGTGCCTAATAGTTGCCAGGAAAGTAACCTGGTTTCCAATGATGACTTCACATAAGCCATTTACATGATAAAAATGGTGCTGGTAGATCTGAAAGGCCATGGGCATTACAATGAATTTTACCAAAGATACTCTAGACCATTATTTGTAGTTACTCTTACTAGATTTATCTTAAGTAGATCTGAAGACAAAATCAAATTTTATTATCCAAGTGGCACAGGTTTATAAAGCCTGAAGCACTGTGTGGTACCTCAACACAGCTTGGAGAACTAATTACAGTAGGTGTCTGCTTGGTAAACAGCTGAATTTGAGAAGCTCTGGCAGAATAGCAGAGACTTGCTGCAAACCGGCGAGTCCCATGAGGAGATCGGATGGAGAATCAGACAGACAGGACAGTATTCGTTTGGTTGGAAATATCCCGTCATGCACGCAGCTCATTGGCAGCTAAATCAGTAGAGGTTTCCCCTCAAACTCAGGCAAAGACCTAGGAGACTGAGGACGAAGGTCAGATCTCACAGGTCAAAGTGGATTCAGTGGATTGAGGAGCATTTCTTTTTTTGTCAATGAGCTTAATACAAGGAACTTCTGAGAAAAGTCACTGTCGGGATTGGCTTGGCTGTCGCTTCGGAGTTGCTCTGCCCTGGGTGTCTGTGGGGTGAAGTGAACGCGGTCACCTTCCAACTGCCCTCGGTGTCTTCACAGATGGTAACGAGCTTCCCTGGCCATCTCCGATGCACCCCCATCTGCTACTCTGGCTGCACGTTGGAAAGAACTCCCATGTCGGGGCCGAGAAATTGCTGTCCTTTTTCTCCCTTTGTCATTATGATCTGGAGGGACAGTGGGAACCTGGTGCAGAGGGGGCCCTGACCTGACTCAGCCTGTGCTTTTGAACTTCACACCCCACAGTTGTGTAGTGGCCGTGATCACAGTTCCAATCTCAATTGAAAAAAAGAGAATTTTGCAGCCAATGAAATGGCCACCCTCTGTTTCTGAAGGGCAAGGAGCTTAACACGCAAAAGGAAATAGAGAAGTAAGAACGCCGCCAATGCTTTTTCATGATGGAGTCCGTGGTGAGATGGTTATGAAAGCATTGAGGAACATGTGGAGCTGGTTTTAATCCTCAGAAACACAAGTATTAAATAGAGGCCGCCCAGTCAGTCAACAAGCCTAATCCTCTATTATTTGATGGTGAACAACTGGAAAAGTGCTCTAATCAACATGATCTATAAAACTGGATTAATTAATGTTTATCTTGTCTAGCCATTTGTTAAAAGGGCCTCCATAAACTTCTTTGCTCATAGGGTAGCCTGAGAATTTAGACTAAAGAAAATAGTTATAATCTATGGGTTAGCTTTAAAAAATCGCCTTTTAGAAAATGCATCCTTTGAATAAGTAGAGAATCTAAGAATAGGTTAATAAAGTGTATGCCCTAACCAGAATCTCAAGGCTTTTTTCTGGAAAATGAAAATTAACGACCCCAGTCATGAACCACAGCGAAGGACATGGTGGGTGTGGGGCCGAATTCTCAGAGCTGTAACTTGTGTCCTTGCAATTGTTCCATGATTCAGAAATACACTTTCCACATACTCAGATTTATTCACTTGTTGCTTGTCTTAATTGAAATTTCATTTGCCAATGAGCATACTGATGGAGGTGTTTTAAAGCGGCTTATTTATGGAAGTTGTTGGCACCACTGGAATTGCAAACGATGCCAACCAAACGCCATTTCAAATAAAAATCATTTTTCTTTTGGCAGCAGGAAAGTTCCGAGTCGCACAGTAGCTCTTGATTTATGAGCTGTGCTCTGTGATTCTCAGACTCCCACGATCCGTGCAGGTCCCTTTAAGGAACTGGGTTGGAAGCGTTCAATAGGAAAACAAGCCTATCTCCAAATCTGCTTCTAACTGGGCAGACATACGAGTCTTTGATTATCATTGGCAGCCTCTCCCACCTCGAATGACCAGGTGAGAGAGTGGAGACTGAGGACCCCTGGGCAGCCGTCTTTTAATGAGAAATCGGGCTGGACCCTACAAGGAACAATATATGTTGTGGACAAAATTTGCAGAAATATCTTCCATTCAGCATTCCAGTAAGCGTTTTCTCAGCCCTGGGTCACATCCTGAAATTATACAATGACCTCCCCAAAACACGATTGAGGGCTGCTCAAAACAGGCGGGTCGGTGCAGTGATCGGCGGCGGGTGGATGGACGGACAGAGACACTCCTCCATGCCTTGCGGGATTTTTTGGCCGAGTGTCCATCCCCACAGTGGTCCATCGAACAAAGTGTTTATTGTAAAGTGGGCCTGATCCCTGGAGAGGAGGAAAAATGATTCCTTGTGACTGGAGGGAAATTAACTCTTTCCTCGCTTTGGCAGCTGGGAGGTGCCTTAGTGATCTATTTCCTAGGTTGGGTTCAGTGGTGGGGGTGGGGGGGTCTCCATGTCAGGAATAGTAATGACTCCGGCTGCATCTTTCAGTGCAGAGAGTGGCGGGGTCCTCGCAAGTGCCCCCTCCTTCTGATGCTCCCTCCCGGCCCAGCACAGGTAGACTGAGGGGAAAACACACTCCAGTAAAGGGGGCTGCAGGGGCGTCTTCATTTCTTCCAGAAGTAACCAAAGGCCATTCAACATTGGATTTCTAAAACCTGCTCTCAGGAAAACCTTTGGCCTAGACCGTGAATGCTAACAGCGATAGGAACTGTATGTTCTGTATGGATGTGTGCTTTTTTAAAGACTGGATTTGGAGGGACAGAGATGGTTTTGCCTGGGGATGACTGTGAGAACCTCCTGGACACACCAAGGAGGGAGGGAGGGAGGGAGGGAGGGAGGGAGGGAGGGAGGGAGGGAGGGAGGGAGGGAGGGAAGGAAGGAAGGAAGGAGTGGGTGTGAGTGTGCTCCCTTTAAGAGGGAAATAAAATTAGCAACTTTGGCAAATTTTCGGGCTTCTATTCAGAGAGAAAGAGAAGAGCTTTCAGTGCCAAAAAAGAAGAGAGAGAAAAAAAGGATGGGTGTTAGGAGACAAAGGCACAGCAATTTTATACCTTATTGGAAGCCAGACTGGGAGGGTTGTGACTCCGCTGGGGTTAAGAAAGATTTTTTTCCCTCTCAAGAGTAAAGGTAGAAGTAGGGTAAAGGAGTTGAATCTGAACTACTGTTCCAGTCAGCTCTGTGCTGTCCTGTCCGGGAGGACACCAGGAAGAGGAACGGCCTGGAAGAGAGGAAGCAGCAGGAGCCCAAGGTGAGGGACTATATCATAGCCACCCGCATGTAAGTTACATTCTAACACTGAGGTGGGAACTCTGATTGCTTTCTTCCAAGGAAAACCACCTGATTTGAACAGCTAGAAAGCTCCTAAGACTGCTAGATAAATGTCTGAGCCATAGTCTGCCTTTTTGCATTATCGATTGTTTTGTTTTCTAAATGCCTTCATGCCAAAGGAGGCTATAAAAATGAGACAATGTTTTTTTACATTGGTTCAGAAAAAGTATTGAGGCTTCCTTTGGGATAATCATAGTGTTTATGCATTTATAAAAATGTTATTTTCTCTAATTCCTATCTTGTTCCTACAATGGCTGAGTTGAATCCTACTAGTAAACTCAAATGAGTAATCCATACTGAGCATTTCTGGCGTTCAAACCAAGTCTTAGCTATCTGGTTTGGCATAGCATTGCTTCACATTTGGCAAGTTACTATAAAGATAGAAATTAAAGCTAAAGTGAGTATTTTTTTTTTTTTTTTGCAGGTTTTAACTGGAAACCCAAACCAACAGAAAGCAACTGGCCTTGAACTATTTCTGCTACCAAACTCACCTGGATGCCCGCAGGCCGTCGGCAAGAATGAGCTACTACGGCAGCAGCTACCCCATCGTGAATGTGGACCCCAAGTACCCGGGTTACCCCCCGGAGCACATCATCGCGGAGAAGAGGCGGGCCCGCCGCCGGCTGCTGCACAAAGACGGCAGCTGCAACGTGTACTTCAAGCACATCTTCGGGGAGTGGGGCAGCTACGTGGTGGACATCTTCACCACCCTGGTCGACACCAAGTGGCGCCACATGTTCGTCATCTTCTCCTTGTCTTACATCCTCTCCTGGCTGATCTTTGGCTCCATCTTTTGGCTGATCGCCTTTCACCACGGAGACCTGTTGAATAACCCAGACATCACGCCCTGTGTTGACAACGTCCATTCTTTCACGGGTGCCTTTTTATTCTCCCTGGAGACCCAGACCACCATCGGCTATGGCTACCGCTGTGTCACCGAGGAGTGCTCTGTGGCCGTGCTCACCGTCATCCTCCAGTCCATCCTCAGCTGCATCATCAATACCTTCATCATCGGAGCGGCCTTGGCCAAGATGGCAACGGCTCGGAAGAGAGCCCAAACCATCCGCTTCAGCTACTTCGCCCTCATCGGCATGAGAGATGGGAAGCTCTGCCTCATGTGGCGGATCGGGGACTTCCGGCCCAACCACGTGGTGGAAGGCACCGTGCGGGCCCAGCTTCTCCGCTACACAGAAGACAGCGAGGGCCGCATGACAATGGCCTTTAAAGACCTCAAGTTGGTCAATGACCAGATTATCCTCGTCACGCCGGTCACCATTGTTCATGAAATCGACCATGAGAGCCCTCTGTACTCCCTGGACCGGAAGGCAGTGGCCAAGGACAACTTTGAGATTTTGGTGACATTCATCTACACGGGCGATTCCACGGGGACCTCCCACCAATCCCGAAGTTCCTACGTCCCCCGGGAGATTCTCTGGGGTCACAGGTTCAACGATGTCTTGGAGGTGAAGAGAAAGTACTACAAAGTGAACTGCTTACAGTTCGAGGGGAGCGTGGAGGTCTACGCCCCCTTCTGCAGTGCCAAACAACTGGACTGGAAGGACCAGCAGCTCCACAACATGGAAAAGGCCCCCGGAGGCCGAGGATCCGGGCTGTCAGACACCAAGGTCAGGAGAAGGTCATTTAGTGCCGTCGCCATTGTCAGCAGCTGCGAAAGCCCCGAGGAGACCCCCAGCTCTGCCCTGGATGAGTGTAAGGAAGCCCCTTACCAGAAAGCTCTCCTGACTTTAAACAGAATCTCCGTGGAATCCCAAATGTAGTCCCACATCGTAATTCCACTCCATCCTTTTGCTCTCTAGCCAGTCACCTTAAGGCAAGTAGTTACAAAACAGGGCTTTGCAAGGACATTGTAGCTGTGTTTCATGCTGATTATAAGAGCAGGTTAAACTCGATGAAAGATAATAAAAAATTATGTAGTATCCAATCAATTTTCTTTTGCTAGCAAATTTTGTATTAGGGATGCTACTAAGCGTCAATTGATTAATGTAAGTTTCATCTCCTTTTATGATTCCATATACTTGCATCTTCAATTGGAGGTATCATGTTCCATTTTGGGGGAGAAAGGTGGAAGGTAAGGATACTGGAATAAATAAAAATAGAACAGGCAACCAGTATCAATAATAATAATATTTCATATATCATAATTCATAGTGTAAAGACATCGTACCATCTAACCAAGACCCATGCAAAGCACGCATTTAGTAGATTGTCATGTTGAGATATTTAACTGTGGCATCAGCTTTCCCCATGGAGTCCCTCTGTTTGGCCCCCAGTGTGTCTTGGCATCCGCAGGAGGAGGTAGCGGCTGTGAGGAATAGGCAATGCCACCAACTCAGACATTTCTCCATAGCCACTTGCCCAGGTAGTGTTCAGGAGTGCCGGGCTGTTTTTCCTCCAACCTTGAGGCAGAAGAGAAGCCAATGGCGTTATTCAGAGCAGTATTTCCCCCTCAAATGCCCCACTTGACTCCAGCCAGGAAGGACAGACATAAGGAAGCGCTTTCTGACAAGGGGGCTTCCTCCTACTTTCTCCAAGGACAAGGGAGGGAGCAGGCTCACAGAGAGAGGGTGAGGGCCTGGACTGCGAGGGACATTCTCAGGCTCTGGGAGAACCTGTTCAGCAGCGCCCTGAAGGACTGCAGCTTTCCTGGGGGGGGGGGGGGGTGGGGGTGGTGGTGGTAAGGTATTAAGGTATTTATTTGTGCCAGGAAGCAGTTATGTATGCTGCCTGTCTTGGTCACTTGACAAAACTTGAACTTTGGATTTTGAGAAATTTTTCCATCAAATTTAGAAGACTCATTTAAATGGAAGATTTTTGTGAAACGTAATTAAAGTGATTTAATGCATATTTTAAAATGGAGAAGCTGAGGGCTGTCCCATAGCTTACACTTGAGGACATGAGCTATGCCTGGATACTCTATTTCCATAATGACTTTAAACACAAATTCAATCACTACGATGAAGAGTCACTTTGCTCCATAAACTGAAGAGTTATTAGCTACATTCAGAATTATCTGCATGTTTTCTTAACATGATTTCCGAGCGGGCAATCAGTATATGCCACAGTTTTTTATTGGTTTATTTTATTTAAATATAAATATACACGCACATAGATTTACTTTTTCTGGGGACTCTCAGTCTCTCTCTTTCTATTTAAATTAAAGCACACAAGTAACTTGATCTGAATCACATACTACAAGATGACCAATCAAAGTAAAATACATAGGTTTATAAAATGGTGTTCTTTTTTTTCCTTTTTGCCTTTTTCCTCTCTCCTCCCCTTCCCTTCCTTCCTTTTTTTCCTTTCCCTCTTTCTTTTGCCTGTGAGCAACAAATTTATCTTTTTAACTGAACATGTGCACATGTCTTATTCCTGTTTTATGGATAAGAGATTTGTTCGGGTCACAAGTTGCAAGCTTAGCATTGGAGATACAAATGATGCACGCTTTCTGCCTGGCCCCAGGAACGCAGAGGCATTTTCCCTCGCACGGGCGTCTAGATTTGGGCTTTGCAGCCGTGCTCTAGTTTCCTTTCACTTTCCTTTGCTTCCTGGACCCCATCGACCCACAACCTCACTTTGTGAGGATCAGAATGGAGACATCAGTGCTCAATAAGTACACTCACTTGTCAAATTCTCTTACCCAGAACAGAATGTAAGCTAGGCATTCCCCTGTAATATTTATCTCTGATTTTCTGTTGAAATGTATCACATACTTCGACACCCTGATGAGTTACTCAACAATAAAGATCTCAAAAATCAGAAAGTGTGCGCCCCTGCCTGTGTTCGGGTGGCGTAGACCCTGCCGCTGTGTCAGCCTTGGTGCAGCGCCCACAGTGGCACTGTTGTCACGTAGGATGAGAAAGCCTGCAATTACCAACCATCTCTCTGGGGTTGGACCAGCTGGTGCAATAGCTACATCCGCATTACAATTAGGTGCTTCTGTCAGCATTGCAAGAAGGCTCCCTGCAAAATGGCATTTCTCTGCATTGTCATGATTTATACTAGCACTACTGACTGGTAAATCCTTGGTTGTGCTTCACCGCCTAAGGAAACTCCCCAAATACAGTGATGCTCACAGAAGCTTAAAAAGAAAAAGGCATTTCTAGCTTCAGATGCTGAGTCAAGGATGAGAAGGAGGTCAAATGTGTTTTCTTCCTTTCTCCCTAAAGATGAAATCACTCAGTGAACTTAGGGGGGCCACCAGCTGGGACATCAGGGCACGACCCCACCTTGTACAGGTCCCCACTGAGCGAGCAAGCCAGGGAGCACAGGGAGGGAGGAGGGGGCACAGGGAGGGAGCTGGCGGACCTCCAGCTCAGCAAGCTGGCACATACACACCTAATCCCCATGACCTAAAGGCCGGTGGATCGTTTAAATCTCCAGGTCATCAAATATCTCATTCTTGATTCTTTCTAACAACGTCCCAATGGGGACCACAATGTGTCCTGGTTAAAAAAAAAATGTCAGTGATGTTCTCCAATCTCCCTTGCAGCTGGGGGGGCTGGGGGAGGGGCTGGTGCTGATGTGGGGGGTTTCTGGCTCAGGAGATGTCAGCAGAACTCCGGATGTGACCTTCCAGAAAAGCTGGCTTAGCGGGCACGTGCCCTCTACCCGCTGCGTGCCTCCTTCCGAACCTCACACGTAGTTGAAGCTCCTGCCACCCTCTTGTGAGATGGGGAATGAAGGACATGCCTTCCAGGGGACACTGAGGAAGGAGGAAGGGGAGCAGCCCGGTTGCATATTCCCCCTGCACGCGTGAGAGGGAGTATGATTATCCACTGGCACAGCGAGCCGCAGATGTAAAGGCAGTTACGCAGGGAACAGAGGCTGGTGAGGAAAAGATGACGGACATGTTGTCTGCGGAAGCCACTTCTTTTCTGGGCAGTTTAGGAAACGCCACTGTTGTAAAACAAACACAAAAGACAGTATTGGCTGGGAACTCCCTCCGAGACACTGATGGCTGAGTGACTTCAATCAAAGACCTGACCAGGCCTGCTGCCCTTTATCCCCCCAACCCCACCCCCCTCTGCTCTTCTCCCCCCAGTGATATTCCGTGTCTTGCTGGGACCGACTGGGGCCAAGGATCTGAAATCCACGGAGACTCGGGCTCAAAAGCAGAACTCTGCTGGGACTGTGTCTCCTACCCTGCAGGGAGACCCATCGCGTCACCGTATTCAGTTGTACAAATACATACCAAGGAACCTAGGCCTGCCCTTGAAATGCGTGTCTTTCATTTCTTCTGAGTTGGCCAGGGCTTTTGCAAGTGGACTCCCTGGGCCGCACCTATTTGAAAGATTGGGCACGAAGTCCACCCAGCGTAAAAGATGCTCTTAGCTCTCTCCACTGTGAGCATGGATCCTTCTGCTCTCAGTGTTCTGCAAGGCGTGTGTACCAGCCCCTGTGTGTGTGTGTGTGTGTGTGTGTGTGTGTGTGTGTGTGTGTGTGTGTGTGTATGTGTTTTATATAAGCTTTGCCTTTGGGCTTCTAGAAACCGCCCCTGCACACCCTCGCTCCTCTATAAATCACAGGCCCTGCCTCGGTACTAAATTTGGTGTGGCCTCTTTCTCCCTTTCACTTTTAAAAGAGCAGCATGACCCATTTGCCAGAGAAAATAACTTTGCCTTGCCCTACCCCCCACCCCCGAAATGCCTGTGGGGATCTCTCTCTCTCTCTCTCTCTCTCTCTCTCTCTCTCTCTCTCTCTCTCTCTCTCACACACACACACACACACACACACACACACACACACACGGAGCAGCAGGGAGGCGCTTGCCAAATTCTTTCCAAAGGGTCTCCTGGACTTGAGGCCTTTGAAAACGAAAGCTTGTCCTAGGGACTCAGTTCAGATCAATCTGTGGCCGGAGGGCAAGCAGGGCCTCCGACCCCCTTTTCCTGAAGAGACAAAAATCACAGCGTTGCCAGGAAACCACCCTTGGCCTGCATGGCTTTGCCGCTTCTCTCCGGGAAGAAGACGTTATGCCCAAGTGAATTCCCACGTTCTTGCGTGGCACCCAGTGTCCCAAAGCCACTCGGTGCAGCCCTCTGGCAGCTCCTTGGTCAGGTCCTGAGGTCTGGCTGGGGACAGCTGGCATCTTGCCCCGTCACGTCACCCCGCACCGCGCTCCTTCCCGGGGAATGTCGGGCATCTTTTGTGTTGAGTTTGGAGACTTAATCTCAACATGGCTACGTGTTTCCAAGTTCAGTAGACTTCGTTGCTGAGTCCCTAGCAGGGAAAATAGACAAATAAATCAGTGATGGCCGCTTGCTGTTGGGTCTCATTGATTTATGCTGTTTCATAAATGCTGGACCTCCAGTCTGTCGTCGCACGAAAAAGCGGCTGGGCTGAGGCTGAGGGGATTCTAAATAAATAAGGAAACCCGAGCTGGGCAGTCCCCGAGGTCGGGGCGTCCCTGGAAACTTGGGCGCCTGGGCGGGCAGAGGGGCACAGGTTAGTCATTGAGAGCTTTCAGCGCGCCCGGGGGATGAAAATCCAAACAGCTAGGTTGGGTCTTGCTAAATTACACAGCCCGGGCGTGCTTTTTCTCTGTGCTGTCATTTACCACGGGGGCTATCAACCAGCCTTAATCACTATCTAAGTAACTTGAACTTGAGACAGAACGAGCCTCCAGAGGCTCAGACCTTGAGAAAACTTCTTCGCAGAAAGTTACCAGAAACCTTCCCACGTCCACAGAAAATGCTTGGGTCACGCGCCCTGTGCACTGCGGGTAAAGGCTCTTTATTTGAATTAGAAGCACATGTTTCGGAGCAATTATTTTTTGTGCTACCTGTTGATTTTATC